GTGATGTTTTGGTGGCTGTGGGACAGGATATTCTAAGTGATTTCTCCAGAGCCCACTGCTGAGTTATTTTTTCCATCCTAAACACTTATGATTTTTCAGGGATTTGCAATTCATCCATACAACGATTTCTGGGCTTAAGCTAATGGCACTAAAACATTTCAGCCCGGGAGCAAGTGATGTTTTGGGGGTGTTTTTTTGTAATGTTTAAAATATGAATCTCTTTGGTTGCTCTGAGTTAGAATTGATGAAAAAATAAAGAAGGAAAAGCAAAGAAGTTAATGGTCTGAAACCTATGGTTGGTATGTGGTTCATATTCAGAATCAGAACAGCGTGCTGGTTTTGGCAATTGGGAATATTAATATTCTGAGCTGTGGCGTGGAAATTTGAAAAAGAGGTTTAAAGAAGCAGCTCATATGACACATTTTTAATGGGAAAGAAGCCGCTGCCCACGTGAAAGAACTGCTTGTCTGTTCTGGGTCATACAGCCTTCGTGTGATGGCCATTCAGGAGTCATTCCAGCTCTGCCGACAGCATGTCCACTGGCCGCCATTGTGCGCTGTTACCACCCACTGGCCACTGCCCTGAGGTGTGGACCCAATCTCATTTTGCTATCACTGAGGCTCTGTGAATTAGGGGAAATTATTCTTCACCATTTTATTTATTTTTTATTTATTGAGACAGAGTTTCACTCTTGTCGCCCAGGCTGGAGTGCAGTGGCGCAATGTTGGCTCACTGCAACCTCCGCCTCCTGAGTTCAAGCTATTATCCTGCCTCAGCCTCCTGTGTAGCTGGGATTATAGGCGCCCACCACCACACCTGGCTAATTTCTGTATTTTTAGTAGATATGTGGTTTCATCATGTTGGCCAGGGTGGTCTTGAACTCCTGACCTCAGGTGTTCTACCCGCTTGGCCTCCCAAAGTGCTGGGATTACAGGCGTGAGCCACTGTGCCCAGCTGCCACTATTGTAGATATGAGAAAACTGAGGCCTGGAGAAGGAAAGGGACTTGTTCAAGGTCACCCAGCTAGTAAGTGGTAGAGGCGGGACTTGAACCCAGCCCTCCCCTTGTCTTCTAACCATTATGTCATAGGAAATAGGAAGCAGAGCACTTGGGAACAGTCACCTTGAAGGCAGATTAAGTTTGGTTCTGAAACTTAGTGGTGTGAGAATCTTCTGGAAGTTTGCGGCTTCAGAAGGGAAAGCAGTGGATGGAGAATCCCATGGAATGGGATTAGGTTGCTCTCCTTGTTATTTTTGGGCCAGGAGGACCTGACCTGGAGAGAAGAGTTCCTGTTGCTTGGTTTGGTTCTTTGCCTTTGGGATCCACTGACCCCATGCTCTGCTCAGCAAGGAAAACAGAGCGGTGACTGGAGCAGCCAAACCACAATTTGGGTTTGAATGATCGGTACAGGTACAGGTGAAAGAGGCCCCACCTGGATTTGAATTCCACTAGTGGAACCTTTTCTATTTCAGGGCTGCCATCCAATCTTGGAATTCTGTGGATGTCAGAGGGGAGGAAATGTTGCTGGATCTCCATGTGTGTGGGCCCCTCTTTTATGATTTAGCATTTCTCCATCTCTTGCAGCCTTTTCCTAATTTATTTTGTTCTGCTGTGAGTTTTCTCTTTCTTCCATCCCTTTGTTTCATGCCTGTCTACCTGTGTTTTAAGGAGGAGTAAAATAAAGAAAAGAGCACCTACTATGTGCTGCATACTAGGAGCTGGGGATGCAAAGCTAAACATTGTGGACCCCACCTTTGGGACTGCACATTCCGAAAGTGAGGCAGATGTGCCCACACGTGATTGGTGTGCTGTGATGGCAAGAGTACCAGCCACCATCATTGTGTAAAGCACGTAAAGAAAATCGTGCAAGGAGTAGAGGAGCCTGGGCACCTAGGCTGGAGATGCAGACAGTGACCAGGGAAGATGTGGGGAAGGAGGTGCTGTCTGGTCCAGGTGTCCAGAGATGAATGGGAGTTATCTTGGCAAAAAGGAGATGGATGAGTTTTTTAAAGCAGCTTTATGAAACAGTGTTAGGGATGGAAATCACTTGTTATTTGTTGTTTGTTTCATGAATTTGATTGATCAAAGACTCTTAAAAATACATAAAATACCTAAAGTGTCTGACACTTGAGGAAAAATCTTAATACGTGGTCTCTGTTGTGTTGTCATTATTTAGCAGTAATCATAATAACATTTAGCAGATTTTGGCCCTGGGCAACAGACAAATAAAAGCTTTCCTTGACTTGTTGTACCGGAAGCTGAAGCAGCTAGTCTGGGTTTGAGCATGGGCAAAGCCATACATGAACACTATCTCATTCAGATCTTGTGATGCTTGAGCGTGAAAGCGTTTTTTTAAATTCTTCTCATGTTCAGCGTTTTCCTCAATTGTTAAATTGCTAAAGCAGCCTTTAGCAAACTTATCTATATGTTGAATTTGTAAATATAGAAGAGAAAAAGTTTCTTTTCTCTGTTTTAACAGACAACACTGTTTCATAGTTTCATTTTGGAGATTATTTAGCTTTGGCTATTGTTTTAATCTTACCAGCCTTGCCTTATATAAATATAGAACAGAAATACTATATAGCAAGTGTTGCAGGAATTAATTGACCTGGTTTACCCATTTGCTTGACACTGCTCTTGAATGTACCCCACAAGTTGGCTTCCACCATTGCCACCATTCAACAAGATGTTGACAGTCTTCATTCTTGAACCATAGCTTTGTCAGCCATCCATAGGAGACCCATTTCAGCTGCTGATGGTATTTCTACTCCTGCATAACAATTTAGGAGAAATCGAGTGGCTTTAAACATCTGCCATTTATTATCTTACAGTTCCACAGATTGGAAACCTGGGTGGGCTCTGCTGAATTCTATGATCATCATTAGCACAAGGCTGAAATCAAGGTGTCATCTAGGTTAGCTCTTATCTGCATGCTCTGGGAAGAATACTCTTCCATGTTCATTCAAGTTGTTGGCTGATCTCAGTTCCTTTGCAGCTGTAGAACTGAGGTTTCTATTTCTTTGTTGGCACTCAGTCCAGGGCATCTTGCAGCTCCTTCATGCTGCCCTCGTTCCTTTTGACACAGCCCCCATCCATCTTCAAAACAGTGCATTGAGTCCCTCTCAAGCTTCAGCTTTCTCTGATTTCCCTTTTTGTCACCCGTTGGAGAAAGCTCTCTGTTTTTAAGAGATTTGTTTTATGTATTATTTTTATATAAAACCAGGAACAGTAAGTTTCCAAGAGATGTTGGAAAGAGGCAGGAGGGCTGCATCTCATTTACATTTTTAGAAGGAATTATTTCTAAGTGACAGCTGGTGGTAACAGAATGACAGTGAACTGGAATTGAGAGATGAAGGTTCAAGCCCTGATTTTGGGACCATGTGTCTGGAGAGCAGTGGGCACATTTTCTGGGCCTTGATTTCACCACCTATAGAATGAGACAGCTGGACTCTTGGGATCATACTGTTTTTCTTTTCTTTTCTTTCTTTCTTTTTTCTCTTGTTCATGTGCTCTCACTCTGCCTTCCCCTCAGAGACCTTGCTCATCAACCGTCCTCTGTTCCCTGCTGAGCCTGGATGCGGTCCTAGAATCCTTTTGACATGGCCCTCCGGGAAGTCACCACCAACCCACTGGAGTTGGCACAAGAGATGAAACCTGTGTGTCATCCCAAGGCTCGAAGGGCCTGTTTCATCCTAAATGCTGTGATTCTCGAAATGAGAAATTATCATCTTCTTTGGCCAAAAAGACATCTATAGAAGAGCCAGTTGGCCTTTCCTTTGCTTGTCATACAGACATCTGGGGAGTGGGTTCAGTTTTCAAGCCACAAATTGAGGTGTGCAGAAAAAGTCACTTTCTTCTAATCGAACTTAATTTCTAGTTTGAGCCCTTGTTCTGCCAAGTTGTTGAAGTGAAATCCATGGATTTGTGGTGCTCTCTCTGGCTCTCCCTGGAGTTGTATGCAGTTCCGAGGACGCACGTAGAGCCAAGGCATGGTGGTGGAGGGCCCCTGGTGCTCTGCTGTCACCTGTCAGTGATGGCGTCTATGGAGACACCCTTGCTCCCAGTCACCTTTGATTTTTGTCTAGGAGAAACTGGGCTGTGCTAAGTAACAAATTCACCCCAAAAGCTCTGTAGCAAATATAAAAGTTACTTTGTGGCTTTGGCAAAGTCCCCAGTGGCTGGGGCAATTCTCCTGGGAGTTGTTTATAGAGATAGTGATCAGGGAGCTCGCTGTTTTCATCTTGTTTCAGTGTGAGACTTCTAGACACCCAGACAGGGAGGAGAGGACTGGAAGTTTCTTGAGTGGCTCTTAGGTGCTGCGTCTGGATGAGACACTTACCTTCCCACATCCGTGGACTACAGCTGGACATGGGCCCCCCACCCCCTGGCCACAAGGAAGGCGGTGTGTTGGGAGTGACACATTAGGTGGGCATTACCAGTCACTTCCACAGTTGATTCATTTTGAGCCACTTTGTTTTCTTCTACATTTCGCCTCACCTACCTCAAGGCTGGAGCAGGTTTGCTAGCTCTGTGTGCTTCATTCCAACTGCCTGCAGCCAATGAGAGAAGCTTTCCATTCTTCCTGGACCTTCTGGGCTTGGGAAAGCTGTGGGGCCATCTATGGCTGTTTAGGCCACCTGTTCCACATGCATGTCTTTAGCATCAAATGTGCTGGTTGTGGGAGGACCATGAGACCTTACTGGCTTCCTACCCTGCTTGGAGAACAGAAGGTGCAGGTGATCCCTGTTTTCAGGTTCGTTAAACCTATCATGGGGTTCTCCTGTTGCCCTCCCAGGGATGGGTGATGAGGATGCAGGGCTCCTTCCCACAGATGCTTGTCTCAGACACAGCTGGGTCTGGCTCCTTGGCTTCCCCCAAGAACTCTTCCTGAGCCGTGTGCTTATGACATTGCTTCACTTTTGTGATATTGCTTCATTTTTGCAACATTGCTTCACTTCTGTCATATTTTATTCATCAGAAAGAAGGCGCCAGGTCTAACCCACACTCCTGAAAAGGGGATTGCACAGAGGCACAAAGACCTCTGGTGTTTCCAGTCTGGGTAGACTGTCTCTCACCACTGGGGCACTGGTGGGCACCTGTGAGCTGATGAGTGGGACCAAATGGCTCTGGCCACCTTGGACCCCATTCTTCCCAGGCTTTGTCTCTCCCCGAGCCCTGCGCTTGACATTAGAAGCCATGCCTTGGACCCCCTTGTTCTGAGTCCTGTCATGGGCCGTGAGGACAGGTTGTCACTGTTCCTGGTGAGCGGATTGTCACTCGGCTCCAGCTGCACGTCCAGCTCTTCCCCTGTTTTGCTCATGGTAAACGCATCACTGGAGAAGGGAAGGCGGATTTATGCAGTTCCACGTGCCCGGTGCAAGGATATTGTTTGGTGAGGAAACTTGTTGGGAAATGTGTGAAGGCCCTGAATTTGTTCTTTCCTCTCCTCCAGCTGTGCTTACTGGCTGGAGAGAAGGGTTTGGATTCGTCTCCTTACTCTTGGCTGCTGGGCCCTTCTTCCTTTGTCGGCTGTTCAGAAGTGGGAAAATATATATTTTTTTCTCCCTCTCCTTCGCTTTCTCTTTGTCTCTGTCTGTCTGTCTCTCATGCACACACCCTCCATCCTCTGATCCCATTCTAGCTTCTCTGCTTTATTTCCCACTGATTGCTTTAATGCACCAATCACAGATAAACTAAATCATTTTCTGTTCCTTGCATTCTGGCTCTTGGGTGGTCCTAGTTAACCAGCTTTCATAGGGCGACATTTCGCCTTTGGTGTGATTCACATTAAAGGGGAGACTTGGACACTGTCTGAAGTGCAGGCAGTTTACTCTGGCAGCACTCTCACAACACGGACAGCAGGAACAGGCTGGTGGCCAAACCCAAGGGCCAGATGACCACCCGACTGGGAGGGTCTCCATCTGGTGACCGTTCTCGGAGTTTGAGGGATTCTTCCTCCTTTCTTACACCTGTACTCAGTCCAGGTCAGTTCCCAGGTATTTCTTTCATGGTGGGGCTTTAAGCTACTCTGGTAAGGGTGAGCGTTGTTTTAAGGTTTCTGAAAGTTGCATCTGTGCTAGATGGCCTTATTTCTAGGGCAACTAGGATTTTGGGGTCCAGTTGTCATAGAGACCCAGTAATCCCTGGGGGAGGGCTGGAAATCCCAGGTCAGGTTGCGTCATACTTCTAAGTGTGTAGGTCCTGTGAGATGTTTGAGTGGGTGTATGACTGTCATTAATCTTATAGCCATGGTATCTCTCATAGTATACTATAGTGTCTTTGTGTTAGTCTACTGGAAATGACCTTCTCTTATGACTCTAACATTTACCCCATTCTTTAAAAAAAAGTCTGCTATAAAGCAATATTTACAAACAGAAAATCTGCAAAATATACAAATGTATATTTATCCATTTGTAGAATGATTTCTATGCATATAGATATGTATAAGGAATACGGAAATGTATAAAGTAGAAAGCAAAACCCCATAACTTTATTACCTGGCTGTAATCATTCTGATTCATTCTCATAGCTTATTTTTCTTTCTTTCATTTTCTTTTCTTTCTTGCAACTCTCTGATATGATGAGAGATCCTTGAGACCCACTTCAAGTGCAAGTCTCCTCAGACACCTTTTAATATAATTATTCCTAGCCAAAAGAGATGGTGTCTTTCTCAGTACCCCTAGAATGTTAGTGCTCCTGCTCATCACTGTGCATTTGGGGTCACTGTATTAGTTATCTATTGTATTGCAAATTACCCCCAAAATTATCTGTTGTTGTATTGCAAAAGTTACTCTTGCAAAATAGTGGCTTAAAACAGCAGCCATTTACTATCACACAGTTTCTCTGGGTCAGGAGTCTGTATCCAGCTTTACTAGGTCCTCTGTCCAGGATCTCTGACAGGCTACACTCAAGGTGTCAGCAGACTGCAGTCTCACCTGAAGGCTTGGCTAGGAGGGGAACTGCATGCAGGCTCATGCATGGGCTGAGGGCTTCCAGGCCTTGCTGGCTCCCTCAGACCTTTGCCACATGGGCCTCTCTGTTGAGCAACTCGCTGCATGGCAGCTGGCTTCCAGCAGAGTGACCAGGGGAGACAGCAAGAGAACCTTTTTGTAATCTGATCTTGGAGGTGACATTGCTTCACTTCTGTCGTATTTTATTCATTCGGAAGAAGTCAGCAGGTCTAACCCACACTCATGGGAAGGGGGTTGCACAAAGGCATAAAGACCAGGAGGCAGGGATCACCGGGGTCCATCCAAGAAGTTGCCTGCCACAGACAATCCTGCTTATGAGCCTGCAGTGGACTGCATGCCATCTTGGGCAGAGCCCTGCCTTGTCTTTACATGTCTAATGAGATCGTGTATCTTGTGCCTGATGGGCACTCAGAAACCCACTTTGCTGTTCCCTCTTTTGTCTCCCATAGCATGCACCCTCCTCTTGGCAGCCTCTACCCCCGCCCACCTCTGTGCCTTTGCTGGATAAGTCATCTCACGCCTTCAGGTCTCAGGGTGTGCACCCCTCCCCTAGGCAGGGAGTACTTCTTGACCTCTTTTATGCCATCAACCACTTTGACAGTCTAAAACTTAGATTTCTTTCTAAGAAAAAAAATTCAAGTTCAAAAAAAATTCAAAAAAAATTTAAAAGGCATAGAATTATAAGGAAACTCGATTATAATGAAATACAATTATCAAAATATAAAAAACCCAGATTTGTGATATAATAATATACGTGCTTCTTTAGTAATACCTTAAATAGCAAGATGTGCAGCAGTCTTAATTTCAAAATAGTGATGAGGATGAATGCTGTTTTGAGATACTGACAGGCACTAAAAAGTGATAGGAAAGTATCTGATTTCTTTTATTTTGAGATGAAGTCTCACTCTGTCACCCAGGCTGGAGTACAGTGGCATGATCTTGGCTCACTGCAACCTCCGCCTCCCGGGTTCAAGCAGTTCTCCTGCCTCAGCCTCCCAAGTAGCTGGGATTATAGGTGCCTGGCTAATTTTTATGTTTTTAGTAGAGATGAGGTTTCACCATGTTGGCCAGACTGGTCTTGAAATCCTGACCTCAGATGATCTGCCTGCCTCGGCCTCCTGAAGTGCTGGGACTATAGGTGTGAGCCTCTGCGCCCAACTGGAAAGTATCTGATTTCTACTGGGGGTAAAGTTGCAGGTTCTTTTAGTACTAATTTTATTTAAAGTTGCAGGTTCTTTTAATACTGATTTTATTTGTTTTTAAAAACTCAAAATTCAAGGAAATACTACAATTCAGTGAAAGGTTATTAAAAATCAAGGTTGGATTCTTTCTCTGACATCCTGAACCCCTGATTGAATGCCCCTCCCTGCAGGGATGGGTTGGCTGCCCACTGTACCCCGAGCCCTCTACTCTTCCCAAATGAATGTGCCCTGGGCCCTCTCCCACCGTCCCCTTGTTGAGGAGTGAACCGTCAGCAGGGTTCACACTGGAAAGATGAAGATGGGATGAGAGAGAAGAAATAGCAGTTTGATAAGAAAATGAGGAAAGAGGCCAGATGCAGTGGCTCATGCCTGTAATCCCAGCCCTTTGAGAGGCTGAGACAGGCAGATCAGTGGAGACCAGGAGTTCAACACCAGCCTGGCCACCATGGCGAAACCCTGTCTCTACTAAAAAAACCCACAAAAACTAGCTGGGCGTCGTGGCACATGCCTGTAATCTCAGCTACTTGGGAGACTCAGGCAGGAGAATCGCTTGAACTTGGGAGGTGGGGGTCACAGTGAGCCAAGATCATACCACTGCACTGCAGCCTGGGCGAGAGAGCAAGACTCCATCTCCAAAAAAAAAAAAGAAAAAAAAAAGAAAGAAAATGAAGAAAGAGAGAGCCATTAGAGAGAGTCCATGCTGATTGTACAAGAGAAGTTTGGTATTTTGAGGCAGAAAAAGGAGGAATTGGGGAGGGGATGAGAGGAAGAAGCAGAGTGGCAGGGCTGGTGTGGGAGAGAGGATGGTAAAGAAGTTTTCCTGTGTGTGTTTCTTCCGGTTTAAGGTAAAGATCCAAATTGTTTATTTTCTGGCTACCCAACTGTTGTCTAAACCCATCTCTAGTCTAGAGCTACACCCTGAGGCAGCTTTCCTTGATCTAATTGCCCACCGATGACCAATGACGGATGACTGATGACTGTACACTGTGGTTGTTTATGTAGATGGGGGTTGATGAGCTATGGCCCACCGCAGGCATGCTGCTCCTTGTTGTACATCTCCAGTTTTCAAATTCAGGGCCTATCCTCCTTCAGATGTTGTATTACTGGGCCCTGGTCCATGGCATGGAGGTGGCACATAATGACACAGACCCAGTGTACCATCCTATCCTTCAGGCCTGGGCCAGAGAGGCCCCCACACGCTGTCCTGCAGGACTGGGCTGCTGCCATTCGCATGAACGTCTGCCCTTTCCTCCCTTTTTAAAATCCTCCCAGTGCCTATGTCCTGAATGATATTGCCTAGGTTTTCTTCTAGGGTTTTTGTGGTTTTAGGTCTTATGTTTAAGTCTTTAATCCATATTGAGTTAATTTTTGTATATGGTATAAGGAAGGGGTCCAGTTTCAATTTTCTGCATATGGCTAACCAGTTTTCCCAATACCATTTATTAAATAGGGAATCCTTTCCCGGTTGCTTGTTTTTGTCAGGTTTATAAAAGATTAGCCGGTTGTAGATGTGTGGTGTTATTTCTGAGGCCTCTATTCTCTTCCATTGGTCTATATATCTGTTTTGGTACCAGTACCATGCTGTTTTGGTTTCTGTAGCCTTGTAGGATAGTTTGAAGTCAGGAAGTGTGATGCCTCCAGCTTTGTTCTTTTTGCTTAGGATTGCCTTGGCTCTACGGGCCTTTTTTGGTTCCATATAAAATTTAAAGTAGTTTTTTTCTAATTCTGTGAAGAAAGTCAATGGTAACTTGATGGGGATAGCATTGAATGTATAAATTACTTTGAGAAGTGTGGCCATTTTCATGATATTGATTCTTCCTATCCATGAGCATGGAATGTTTTTCCATTTGTTTGTGTCCCTTCTTATTTTCTTGAGCAGTGGTTTGTAGTTCTTCTTGAAGAGGTCCTTCACATCCCTTGTGAGTTGTATTCCTAGGTATTTTATTCTCTTTGTAGCAATTGTGAATGGGAGTTCACTCATGATTTGACTATTATTGGTGTATAGGAATGCTTAAAACACCAAAAGCAATGGCAACAAAAGCCAAAATTGACAAAGGATCTAATTAAACTAAAGGAGCTGTTGCACAGCAAAAGAAACTGTCATCAGAGTGAACAGGCAACATACAGAATGGGAGAAAAATTTTGCATTCTATCCATCTGACAAAGGGTAATATCTAGAATCTACAAGGAAGTTAAACAAATTTACAAGAAAAAAAAAC